TATTGGCCATATTAGATCATTCATTCAGTGACATGTCCAAGAGAAGAAGAACTGATTTGTTGCATGTGGGATTCTTTTTATTATTCACACACACCTGATACACTTGATAACATGCAATTGAATAGTAGTTGTTGTAATTTTCAGTTTATTTGCCAGTGAGTCTTTTTAAGAGCTGACAAAAAAAATGGATGTGGCATGTTGAAGTGCAATGCTGCATTATTATGCCTCTGGAAAGGGGGGACATTTAATATGTTGACAGGGGCTGGTGTTAATAATCAAGTAATATTTAATGTGAAATAAAACTGTATTAAGAGTGAATAAACACACACAATCTTATTTAAGATTCAAGATATCTGGAGACGAGTATCCTGTAGATCCAAGTTGTCCTATGACAGTTCATCTGAGAAGGATTCGTATAGCAAACTTATCACTCAATATAAGTATAGTCACAGAGACGTTTTGGTCAATTTTTGCTTTAGAAATTATTTCAGTTTTGCTTGAAGTCTTTGTTCATATGGATTATAAATTTATGCTTAAAATAGATCCTGCAGATGGATTGTTGGTATGAAAGTGATTTGTGGGGTTTTAAATGGCAACCATGATTTAGGCCACGATGTGTCTACTGTTAGATGAAGTGTTTATTTTATATATGTCATCTGGTGTAACTTAGAAATACAAAAACAGTGAAAAATGCTGATCCAGCTTGAGCAAATTTAGCCTCTTTTGGGTTTATGAGGGAGATATTATTCTTTTTTTTTTTTAATATTTGCAATAGACTCTTTAAGTCTTCATTTGTCCTGGATAATAACTGTGAAACCAGCAACTGCCAATGTTCTTTGTGTGTCCTTGTGCTGACTTGCAAGCTGGCTTGCCTTTTTTGCTGCTGATGCCAGACACCATGAAGGAGGACAGCTCAAAGGACGATATGCTGTGAGAGGACAAGGGCAGCACCAGATGTGTGTTTCCTAAAGCATGTGGATTCTTTGCTTCACAGATTTTTAAGTCCTAGAGACTAGAAGTTTGTTGGGAATAGACTGCAATTTTTGAGGTGCTGTTTAACATAGGAAGCATCTGGATGTAGTGCTGATAGGCAAATATTTGATATTGTATGTCTAAAATCAGTTAAATGTTGAGCATAAAAATGGTAGTGTAAGAGTAATAGCATAGCTGGGATGGTCCAGAAGTTAGGTAAAAGGGAAGGATTTCTTAGGGTGGTAGCTTTTATTTGACCAGCAATGTCATCGGGATGGAATTAGACAAGCTTTCAAATGCAAGGCATAAAAAATTTCATCTTTTAGATATTCAGGAGCTGCTAAAGTACTGTGAGTTAAGTATAGACAGATGCACACAGTGTATACACACATCTTTTATGTGTGCTCACATGTACTTCCTTGAAAATGTGACATTCTAACTATATATTTTTTTACCTCTACATATTTCCCAAGCCCTGTTCTTGTATCTAAGCAATACAAGCATTGAAAGAGGAATCAATTTTTTGATGTGGCCTAGGAGCCTAGATTTCCCCTTTCTCCCCACAGTATTATTTCGTAGTGGAGTTAAGGTCGTTTGGGTGGCTTACCTCACCATTTCCTTATCTTAAAATGTTTGAATAACCATTTTTTAAAATCCACATCAAGTCTTTTTATAGTCATAGAGTCTCTGCCATTCATTTTACCAAGATAGAAAATATGTGTGGTGATGATGTGTACAGAAGTCTCTTTTATTAACTTATTCCCCTTTCAAACAGTATGGCCTTTCTGAGATATTTAGGAATTTAAAGGCATTCTGGGTTCATCTATTACACTGTGTAACACTGCATACATGAATACATTTCTTATGGGTTTTGTTTCTTGTTTTTCGTAGGCTTTTTAAGGTTGCATAGAATCTAAAACTAGGTGCAGACATAACACTTTTTTCTGGTTTAGGTGGTCAAAAACCAGTCTAAACCTGTAACAGAACAAAAGTTCAGTGCACATAGACTGGTCTAAAAATGGTGGAACCCTATCTAAAATAGACTTGGATGGATATAATATTAGATTTAATTGGTTTGGGTTAGACTGGTATATTGAACTTCTGTCCCATCTCCCCCCTGACTCAAGTTAGGCTGCAGTCCCCCAGTATCGCAGGAGCTTTTGTGGCTCCCCCACTACCCCCACCTCCCTGCAGGGCAGTCAAGCTAGCCATGGCCTGTGTTTGTCTGCTCTAGCAGAGTACCAGGCCTGCCCCGTCCCCAGGCAGACAGAACTGAGGCAGCAAAGCCTCTGCCCCTCAGCCCAGCATCCTACTCCCCATGCCCATCAGCTGAGCTGGGCTGGGCAGGCAGGGAATGGAGGCCCCAGCCCCCCCAGCCACCATAGTTGGAGGAGCCAGGTGGCGGGGGCTTTTTCCCGCCCATGCTGCCTGGCCCTCCTGGCCAGCCTGACAGCATGGCTTTGCTCCACAGCCATGCCCTCCTGCCATGTGTCAGTGGGAGGGGTGGAAGCAGAGGGCCCACCAGCCCCGGTCCCCCCAGATCCAGCCAGAACAGCTGGTGGGGGCCTCCATTCTACACCCCCCCACCCAGCTGCCTGACAGCTGCAGGCAGGAGCCGTGGCTCGGAGCTGGTCTGTCAACCACACTGGGAACTGGGGGCAAGGGGTGGGGGAACGGAGCTTGCTGGCTTGGGTCCAAGAAGGCCAGGCTGGGTCCATGCAGTGAGGGCTCTGCTCCCCACTCCGCCCCCGGTTCTCAGTGTGGCAGACAGCCCAGCTTTGAGCCGCAGCTCCTGGCTGCAGTTATCAGGCAGTTGTGGGAGCAAGGGGAACAGAGTCGCCTGCTGTGCAGTCCCCCCGCTGGCTCTGGGCCAGGTCTGTGCAGTGGGGACTCTGCTCCCCTGCCCCCAGTTTCTGGTGCGATGGACAGCCCAGCTGTGAGCCATGGCTCCTGCCTGCAGCCATCAGGCAGTTGGGCAGGGGGTAGAACAGAGGCCCCTGCCATGCAGTCTCCTCCCAGCTGTTCTGGGGACCTGGGGGTGGGGAACAGAGCCCCTCATCTGTACTCAGACTTGGAAGGAGAAATTCTTTCACCCCTTCCCCCTGCTGGTTTTTACTATCCTGTGCTTGGCTCCTTGTGATCAGGCTTGAGAGAGAATGCCTTGCATTCAAAAGATTATCTAACTTTATCCCAAAATCATAGTTCAGTCAAAGATATCACTCTAAGATATCCTTGCCTCTCACATTGTTCTCATCTTATAAACTCTTTGGGACAAATACAGATTTTTTTGCTCGAACAGCCTAATCAAATTATCCATTAATAAATGGCTACCAGATGAAGAAGAATTTTTTAATAACAAGCCTAGGACCCTAAAAATAATTTTTATTTTGTCTTAAGTGATAGTATGCATTGCAAAAGGTTCTCCCATAGATGAAATGACCAAACCAACCAGACAAACAGGGTTTTAGAAAATGATTCTAGGATATAGGGCAAGATAGCAGTAACCCATGCAGGATGATTACAGTAAAATCTGGGAATTAATTTTCACTTCTATATAACTACTTTATTTTAGTCTGTGCCATTTTCTTATTAGTTTTTTTTTAACACTAAAGAAGTGCTGGCCTGTTAGTTTTCATTGGGGTAAGAATACTTTTGTTGAACTCTCAGGTCATGGATACAGCTTGCACCTAGAGGTACATACCACCAAGGGAATGCTTGGTTGTCTGAGCAGCATGATGGCTGCCTGACTAGGTATGTGCATACAGTGGGAGAGAGAAAATACACAGCTACAAAATTTGTCTGCAAAACAGTCTAACTGTTTTTGGTTTGCTATTTATCCTCTAGTTATGCCATAAGGTTATTAGTAATTTAAGTAATTTAAAAGAATTAAACATGAGAAAAGAATGAATAGGGCAATTTAAGAATATGCTGTTGGATCATGTGTTGATTTCTCTGTGGCCCTGGTCTTCAAGAAAGATACTGGCAAACTTTGATTGTCCCATCCAAAAGGCAAGGCAGTCAGCGATTATGTAGGCTCTGTACATAATAATGTGTCTTAGTTTGATGAAGTGAATGTAATTAAGACTTGTAAGAAGGGCTTACTTAAATCAGAAACAAATTGTTTTACATTGCACTTGCTATTGTGTGTGCCTGCTGCAATTTTCTGTTTTATGCCTTTTAAGCTTACAATCCTAAAATGGGTGGTGAAGTAGCAGACATGTAATATCACTCCTCTGTTAGCTGAATGATTTTTTGATTTAGTTTGACACCGCATCAAATGTTTACCACATATCAAGAGTTACTGCTGAAACTGGGAAAGATTTCCATTGATTTCAAAGTTTTGATACCTAATGGAGGGAAGGTCCTGGCAATTTTGATATTAAGAATTGTCTGGTGCTACTGAGGCTACTTATTTTTTACTTACCCTGTATTCATAATTTGTGTACTTTGGGTGTGTCTACATGCTCATTAATGCACCGTAATTACGAGAAGAATATATGAGCATGGTCAAAAGTGTAGGTATTCTGTTCTTCTCCAGACACCTAGTCATCCACTTCTGCATGGTTTTTAAGTCCCAAAAATGCAACTTATGCTCAGATTGACAACTGTGTTCTTGCTCATGTAGCCTTATGAATGTGAATAGCTATGTGCACACCCAGGAATCCTGTGTGTAAGTGGCACTCTGGAGACTTAAATGACCATGTAGATGACCAAATCTAGTGGTCCTGGTATCCACAAAAGAATGTCCCTGAAAGCATTTGATTTTTTTTTCCACCATTTTACTGATCTTCATATGGTTTAGAAATACATTTGGATCCTCCTGACTTTCAGTAATTTAATGTTATATATTTAATGTTAATATTTTTTTCAGAAATGGAATAAAGTGGTGTGTAGTAAATTAAATAATATAATATCAGATGTGGGTGTGCTCTGAGTTGGTGACTGACATTCCTAAGCTAGCTCATCAGTAGCATACAGCTGCCTTTTAGTAGTAGTAAAGTCATTTTAAACTTCTACTTTTTTCATAGGGCCCCTCGGTTTAAGGGTTTCCAACAGCAGGATAGCCAAGAGCTTCTCCACTACTTGTTGGATGCAATGAGAACAGAAGAAACAAAGGTAAAATCTTTATATATTTTCAGGGAAGTAACTTGGATTAATTTTAGCTTGAATATCCACGTTTTAATTTACTTCATATTCTCTATGTCTGATTGGTACATACATTGCTGAGGTTTGCTTCTACCACTAAATGTAAAGTTGGCTTCTGAAAAGACAGTTAAATTGATGCATTTTCACTTAAGTATTTCAAAACTGCTGATTATAAGCAAGTTGTCACAATTTTATATAGTAACTTTGGTTAACAGTATTTTATGGGAGAGTCGAAACTCCAAACCTCTCTTCACCATTCTGCTGCTTAGCTGTGGAGAACCAACTTAAGATTTGCCCCTGAAGTAACTTCTTACCCTAGTATACCTTAGTTCCACCTGTCTCAGTCAAGGCCTTTGCAGCTCCAGTAGAAGCCATCTTACCAGATGATGACTTGTACTCTTCTAGGTTTGCATAAAACTGTACATCCTAACTCCCCTAGGTGTAACTAGCTTGTAGATATCATTTGTTCTGAAATCACACTGACCATAGACAATTACTAAGGTATAAGAAATAGCAAAAAGATCTATTACATAAGCAAGAAAATCACATAAATGGTAAGAATATTGAAAGAGACATATTAGAAAATAAGCATAAAAACTAGAGTAAGATCTAATCCTACACTTCTGACTAAAATGTAGCATCAGTCTCTCACTAGAGGTCTGTCTCAAGCAGCTTTTCCTCCTAGAGGAGGAGTTCTCAGTAGAGAATATTTTTCTATTCAGTGGTCAGGGATCATGTATATAGTATTCAGATAACTTCCTCCCCAAAGGTGTGCATCTGCCTGAGAGGCCAGATGTTATCACTGATTTACCATTATAGCTAAGGAATATTTGCATTTCTTATATATAATGGTAAATCACATCTGTATTACCATATTTATCTGAATCCTTGATGGCCCTGAATTTAAGACAACTCCCCTTGTACAGGTTTCCCTTTCTTTATGCTGTACATGTGTTCCTGGAAAACAGCCCATAACTCAAATTTGCATAAAGGGAACCCACTTTACAATGTAACAAATAGGGATACATTCCAAGACCTTGACTGATACTGATACAGTACCTTGACTGGTACTGATCCTTAGACCCATTTCTACCACTTTTACAAGACAATTTTGGTACTCACCAACAGCAGACAGTACACACAAACACAAGGCACTATCATAATGAGGATGGCAACTACAGAAACACGTGTCGCAGACAACAAGTGAGGAGCACAGATCCAAACAGAAGACGATACTTTGGTGCGCATCACTCCCACAATGCACTGCACAAAGCAGATGACCACAGGGTTCCACCACATCGATCACATAAGATTGAATTTACCTTGCATATAACGAATTTTTGGTATAAAAAGGGTCAACATATAAGAACAAATTCGCACATACAGAACCCGCATAAAGCAAGGGAAACCTGTAATTAGATTCTATACATAGAAAATGTATAAATTTGTTATACTTCTCAGTGTATAGTATCTAATTATTGAAGGGTTGTCTTAAATTGATACCTTACCACCAATACTGCAGGTGGTGGGGGGACACTCAACAAGGAGGGGAGTAGTAAGGGGGCAGGCGGCAGGGTGTGGAGGACAGGTGGTGGGGGAAACAGTGCGGGGGCAGTCAGTGGTAGGAGTACTAAGAGGTAGGCAGGAAGTAGCAGGTGGTAGGGGACATTTGGTGTGGAGGCAGTTGGAGGGGTTGGCACCTTGTCCCCTACCACCTTTCCCCCCCACTTACCTCTCCCTTGTGCCTGCAGCCCTGCCCGCCTTCCACGTGTCTTCCCCCCTACACTGCTTGTGCCCCTCCCTGCCAACAGGCTCAAGTCCCCATCCTTCTTCCCCCCCATCTTCCTCTCCCCTGAAGCCTCTGCCCCTCCTTTGTGCTTACTGTTGCTCTGTGCTGGTAAGATCTGTCTACATTCAGGCTGGGGCATAGAGTATGGGGCTAGCACCTCTGCTGTGGGACAAGGCTAGGGCCATGCTCCATGGTCTAGCATGCCTACACTAGAGCAAGGGGCAAGTGGGGTTGCAGTGAGGGGAGAGAAGCAGCACAGGTTGGGGAGCACAGCAACTGTCTGCCCCGCTCCCACCTTGTGCTGGAGTCCAAGATGAGGGGCTTCCCCCCTCCCCCATGTTAAATGGGGCAAAAAAACCTTCATTTTAAAATTGAATAAATACAGTATGTATAGATCACTAATCCAATATCCTTAGTAATCAATTATTCAAGGGAGTTATAGTTTCTCTTCTATTCTGTTCAAGAAGTGGAAACTATCAAATCTCTGTTTTAAGTGTTAGTTTCTTAAAATTGGATTTCTTGTGTCAAAAGCTTCACCTTTTGAAGGTGAACTTCAGTTTTTTGGGGCTGGGCCTCTGCCTGACCTGAACCCCCTTCTCTAGAGTATGGGGCTTTTTTGTACCTTCAGTACTAGATGGGGATAAGCACACTGCATCACTTGGGCTCACTAATTTGCTCCAAACCTGGAATTTCACCAGTGAAGCTGCTCCAAATGTCTGCTTTTGATCCCACGGTTTCTGGCAGTCCTGAAAGTAGATGCTGAAGCTGCTTTATTGGTACACTCCCAGTTCTAGGAGTATGTCAGCAGGCATGGGTAGACAAGGCATGCTCAGCTCTGTCCTTTTTGGGCTTCACCGCTGCAGTAGTATAGGCCAGCCCATGGATGCACTGAGGCAGCCCCTGTTAGAGTTGTATGCTGCAGTATTCTGTTGTGTATTGGACATGATGGGACTATTTTTCTGACAGTTGACACTTCTGGCTATCCGTTAATCCATGTCTTTATCGATTAAGGACCAGAATCACAAAGGGACTTGAACATGATGAGTGTTCCTGCAACAGAAGTTAGGTTTCCTGCTCCAGGAAAGGAATTAACAACTTCAGGTGCCTCTGTTCCCTATGCTTTAAAGAGAGAGAATCAGGGTACGGACATACGGAGTAAAAGGATTCCATCTTATCAGCTGCTCTGTAGTAACGGCACGTGTGCATGCCCTTAGATTGCAGTTAGTGGAAGTTAAACTGTGGTAAGTTACCACAGTTGAGCTTCCACTTACCCCAGGATAAGAGTAGTGCACACTGGTAGTCATCACAGAAGTAATGACACCTGGTTTAATTAAATCCTTCCCCTTTTACTCCATAGAATGCACTGTAAAGGGTGAGACCAACCTTCATTTGCCCAGTGGCAGAAACACTGTACAGAGTAGTTTGTAAAAGCAAGTATTTCTTAATGTGTTCTGTTACTAGTTTATTTAGCACCTTACCTTTTGAGCACTAGAGTGAAATTTGCAATGCTCAGCATGCCAAACAAGGGAGGATGCCAAAGCCAAGCAAAAAGAAACTCTAAGGAGAGGCAGGTATCTGATGAAGTGAACTTAGTTTCACAAGAGCTTATGCTTTCTCTCAATATACATCTTATTTAGTTAATTTATAAAGTGCATATCTACCCTGCCTCTTCCCTGGATTTAAGTGCCTAAGTTAGATGCCTGCTTATGACTGGGACTTACAGATTGAAACCCCCCACATATAATCAACTAATTAATTCCTTCATGACGGGCAACTGGCTCACTCTTAAAATGTGACCAAAGGAGGGAAGGTAGTAAGTGTACAATACCTTAGTAAGTAGAGCACTTATTCAGGTTGTGAGACCTATGTTTTAGGCCTTTCTCAGCCTGATGGAGGTCAAACCCACAATATCACCTCAGAAGAGTGCCATAACCTCAAGACTGGGAAGGCACTCCTTCCCTCTCCTTGTTGAAGCTGAGCCACTTAAAGGTTTTGTTTGGTTTTTTTAATGTTGCAGCAGAGGTGGAAGTTACTATACTGTTCTTCTGGTATAAAATAATTGAAAATGTTTCCCTCACTCTTGATGTGCAATAAAATCAAGGGAAAGCCTTTTAAAGCAAATGTTCAGATGCTTTCTTCCTCCTGAGGAACAGATTAACAAAAATATGAGAGTAAATGTCATTGTTATCATTGGATGTGCTGTCCTTATGGTGGTATCAATGTGCATAGTTACTCGGCCTTTAAATAGTTTTACTAGAAGTAGTAGCTATTATAAGTACAATAAAAGAACAACATAACATGTTGAGAAATGTTTTCTCTTATGAATTGGTCTGTGCAGTAACTCTGTCACCTTTGTCTTTGGGTAAGTGAAGGTTGGTCCCACCTTTTACTGCAATTAAACCCCCGTTTTGCCATAATAGTGCATTACTATGAACAGTGACTCTATCACCTCCGGGCTGCGCAGCAAGGGGCATTACGACTAAAAGCTCTTTTTCCTCTCTTTTTCGGGTCTATAGATGGTGTGACAAACTGAGAATGTCAGATCTGTGGATCTATTCAATCTTGTGAGCATTGGACAGTTGTGCCAGTCAGATACAAGCAGTAGCAGCATTGTCTGTCATGGGAACTCCACAGCTGTTAATCGTGCTATTGTTATGGAGTGTCACTACCATGTGTTTTTTGATTGAAGAAAGCCTACAGCAATATGTCTGCCACCAGAATCCTTTAGAAATGATTACAGCCACTAACCTTTCTCTTTCATGCTGCTTTTAAATGTGCTTGCTTTTGAGTGTAAAGTTTAGGTAACAGCTCTACTAAAATTGCAGCTGAGCACTTGATTGTGTACCTGTGGAAAACCTTTTATTTGGCTGAACAGTCTAATTGCCATTTCTTATACATCCTGCCCTGATTAATTTTGAAAGCAGAGCTACTTGGTCCTCTGATATTAATATACTATGTTATTAACATGTATTTACAGTATATATTATAAAAGCCTTTTCTGGATTTACATAATTTTACATAAATTTACTTTTTTGCTTGCTTCCCCTCTGTATGTGTCTTATAAAATGGTTCTTTTAATTGTCCTGAGATTTTTGTCTGTTTTTGGTGGTCTGAAACCAACATCAGATTCTTTGGTATTCTATTTTTTCTCCATATCTTTCTAAAAGTACATGTATGTAGATATGTATGTAAATAGACGTTTAAAGTGAAAGGCTGTCAATACTACAATCAAAATTACACAGTCTGTTGTTTCCAACATTGTGTGCTGGAGATTGTTTCACACCAGGGTTTGAAGTAGCTGAACCCTGCTGCTAATTGATTAATGTCTGCTGCCATTGTTAGTAGCACCCTGACCATTCAGGGACTGTGTCTTTCTTTGACCTAAATAAATGGTTCAACGCACTAATCCCAACAAAAGGGGTTGCTTATGGCCCTAAACCCATTTATGGTGTTCAACTTGGTGAATTACCTATTGATTAGTCCTTTTAGTATATTGTTGGCTTTAAGATGAACAAAGCAGGGCTTGGGATGGCAGGAGATTAATCGCAAGCCAGGTCATATATTCATAAGGTAGAAGTATGACTCTAATCTGTGAGTGGATGAACTGGAAATTGAACCTCTAAGGATATCTTCATTATAGCATTCTTTTTTTCATATGGCCTGAGTGGAGCATACTTTGCTGTTGTAAATGTGAGGAATATTTTGTTAGTAGATATAAGGGCTAATATGTACAGAAATGTTGAAGCATCAGAACTCATTTCTAGAGTGGTATATTAGCTTAATTGTGACTCCAGTGTCCCTTTTAGCAGATACAGTAATACAGTAGAGCCTTACTAATTTGCACTACTGAGCAAGTACATTTAGTAAGGGAGAATTAATACATTGATAATGCTGATTACTTGACAATCATTTAGTTTATAAATACTTTATAGTTTCCTGGTAAAGGTTTGTGGTACAGTTTGCATCTGTAGTGAAGTCTTACAGTATGAGACATCATTACCACAAATTTATTTATTTATTTTTTGACTGAGAAGTGGGGACATTTACCATTTTGATGCGCAAATTACACCTTAATGTTCAAATGTGTTTAATGTCCAAAAATATATATTTTTAGAATTGTTTTCTCCTCAGTACACATAGGTAATCCTTGTGTGCGTTAATAGGAGTTTTTCGTATACCCATTGAGGTATGATAACATAAGTTAGTACAAAAAGAATATAAGTTTAGTACTTTCTAAACACAATAGTAGAAGAATGAAGTTGATGTGAGTAAGGCAGAAGTCTAACAAATGGTTATAAACTTTAAACATTTTCTATATTCTTGTCAGTCATTGTAGAAGGAAGCAGTTTCTGCATTGTCATTTTGCTGTTTTCTTGCCAAGCAATAACAGAAGTGAAAATCATGTTGACAGCATAATCTCACCGTTCCTTGATAAATTCTTTATGAACCTAAAAGTGGTCCCTTTTTATGGGGAGATAAGTTTTTGAATGTTAATTACGAAAGTTATATATTAGTTTGTGTCATATAAAAGCATGATCATATAATTTTAAAATCTTAGTAAACTATGCTTCTTTCTAGAAATAATGGAGAAAAAATTCTAATCATTTTTAGATCTTCTTAAACTGCTTATCACCTCCTGAAAATATATATTTGTTTTAATAGCGGATACAAACTGGTATCTTAAAAGCATTCAATAATCCAACCACTAAAACAGCAGATGAGGAAACTAAAAGAAAAGTCAAAGGTATGCTACCTTCTAATGAATCACTTAAAAAAAAAAAAAGCATGTACAATTGTTCAAATGTAATTTTTTTCAATATTGACTGTCTGTTACAAACTGGAGTTCTAGAGCACTGTGCGTGGCTTAAGTAAAATTATAGTATCTATTATTCTAGTGCCATCTAGTGCACACATAAAATATAGAAATTCTTGTATATATTGGCTTGCTTCCGTTTGTTACTAATATCACTCCGGAATGTACAATTTAATTTTACTTTTGGAAATATATTCTTTTGCATCTTCTGATCTTTTTGTATTGTGCAACTATTGTATCACTCAAAGAGAGCACCTGGAATGTTTCAATGATTGAATTATTGACATCCTGAGCATTTTAAGAATATGAACACAAAAGCAGTATAATGATTTTTGCAATAAGGGCAAGATTATTTTCCAAATCTGAGCTTTTTATTTATATAAATCATTGTTGCACGTGCTTATTAGTTTTAGTCTTACAGCCCAAACGTACTGAAGCTTGTTTGAAAGATTAGCTTTTTCCAAATCTGTAACTTGTTCTTGAAAATGTAACATAAAACAAAATAAATATATCTTTTTGTTATTCTTTCAAGTTTGACAGTTTTAGAAACTATCATTTAGAAAACATATCGGTATGTCTGCTGCTATAGTCCCTGCTTTGGAACAACAGAATATTAAATAAATAAGGCTGATTACTTGCATTCTTTGTTAAAAAGAAAATCAGAATTTTTGTTTAAATCCTCCTCTTGAGAGATGCAGCACTATTCTGATACAGCAGGGGCAGAAGGAGAGGCTGAATGAATTGTATCACTGAATAACTTCTGTAAATATTACGAAGTGTGTCATATTAGCAGTAAATGATTTATTACATTAATAGTGTTATTATGTGTTTTGTACGTAATTCATACATTGTGTTTTTTTAACAATAAACCATAGAAACTATTATGTTGTACTTATACAGTGGCATTGGATTTGTTTTTTCACATTAAAAAAAGCAATGTTTTTTCAGCATATGGAAGAGAGGGTGTGAAGATGAACTTCATAGATAGGATCTTTGTTGGTGAATTGACTAGCACTGTCATGTGTGAGGAATGTGAAAATGTAGGTATTTTGGAATTCAATTTGATATGGAATAGATCGCATATTGATTTGTTCATATTGTTTGGAGTATAAAATTGTATTTTCAATTTTATACTTCGGTTTCTAAAAAAAAAAGATTTTATTGGAGATTTCCTAGTAACATGGCTTATTTTATCCTTAAAATATTCTTTGTATACATACAGGTTTCCCTTGCCAACCATGTGGGTTAGGTTTTGGAAAGTTCCCATGGTTGACAAAACCGCAGTTGGTAAAACTAAATGCTTATGGGGGAAATGGGATCAGGGACTTGAATACTGTACAGTATAGTGTATAAAAATAATTTTTACTTACCTTAAATACACGGGGTCAGTTGGGAGTAGGCATACCCCTAGGGGCACTTAGGTTATAGGGGGTACTTGTCAGTGGCTGGGGAACAGAGCGCACCCAGGGCGCGGCGGCAGCATCTCCCCCAGCATGTTCACCTCCTACCCGGGGGAGGAGGAGGGGGAAGGAAAGGGGAGGGACATGTCAGACATCCCTGCGCAGCACACCGTAGCACTTCCCCGTCCCCACCTGTCTGAATGGTGTGGTGGGGGTGTTTTGTGCCCACCTCCAGCAGCACACGATTGGCCAGTCAGCAGCCTGCAGATGGGATGCTGGCCAGGCCGGGTTGTGGGACAATCGGAGCCCAGCAGCAGCGGGAGCCACCCGCCTGCACCCCTGGATGAGCAACTGGGCTCGGATTGTCCCACAATCCAGCCTGGCCGGAGCTGCTGTTCCCTGCCACCCTGCTTCCCTCCCCCATGGCCTGGTGCAGCAGGAAGCAGAGAAGCTGTGCGGGGATCTCCTCACCCACCACTGCTCGCCCCACGTTGCCCTGGCGATGTGCCTCCTACACGTGGGGCTGCATTGAGGGCAGTGGTGCAGGGCTGCACCCCTCAAATCAGCAGCAGGCACAGGAAGCGCATCACTGGGGCAGCATGGGGTGAGCAGCAGCGGGTGAAGAGATCCCCGCGTGGCTTCTCTGCTCCCTGCGACACTGGGTCATGGAGGAGGGCAGCAGGGAACAGCAGCGAGCAGGCCTGCTGTTCCTTGCCACTGCAAGTAGGGCAGCTCCCCGCCACCGCACACACCTTTGGTACGACTTGGGGGCCACCTCTGGCTGGGGTAGCAGGGGCTGTTGCGGGGGAAGGAGAGGCATGAGCAGGGCCAGGGGGTTAGTGGGCTGATGCGTGGCCACAGAAAATGCTGGTTACTCAAAACTGTATACCGTGGTAACCAAAACAGTATACAGAATATTAACTGTGGATACTCAGAACTCTGGTTGGCGAGGAAAACCTGTACGAAGGAGTCTTGTGAATTAGAAATGGCTTAAATGCTGGTAGTAGTTTGTACCTAGCTAATTTAAGTTTGGAGGTTTCAAATTTTACAATTGTCCTGGAAATACTGATACCATATTTAATACAGCATTTCCCAAACTTCTGAATGTTGAAACCTATTTCAGAAAATGAAAATAATCACTAACCCTGATCACAACTCAGCCAAATCTTGGTAAAGAAGTACCTGCCCTTAATCTTTGTCTTCCATGGCCTGCTGGTTATTCCTTTCAGACCTGGTCTTTACCTTGGGAAATGCTGATTATAATTAATGGACATAGAAAAATAATGAATAAAATTTATATTTTAAAATTTATATTATAGAATTGATATTTGCTTAGATTATCCTAATTTGAAATACTTTTAATTGTTAACTCAATATTTTTAATAATAAGTAACTATTAATATGCAATAATGTTTTATTATAAATAAGTGGTTACTGTCATCTTTACAAGTGTCTGTAACTTCATAAGGATGACAGTTTTTTGTTTTGATTATTTTGCATGGATTACTTTCATTGAACTTGTGTTTGAGTTTTCTTTAAAACATACTTCATAAACAAAATACATAATTTGGTATGAATAATTAATCTCAGTTCTGCAGTGTCAGGTAATCTCCCCTTTATGATGGGCAGATTATACTGTAGTTTGTTTCTAGTATCAATGAAGACCTTCACCTGCATGCAATTTAGAAAGGTTAGGAGTTAAATGTACTGTATCTTGCTTTATTCTTAGATTCCATCCATACTCATCAGGACTTTGCTAGTCAACCATATTTAAATGAGGTTCCAGCTCAGTTTTCTTTTCCAGTAGTGGCAAAAAAAAGCTTTTGCTTATTACCTCATTTTTACAAAATACCATGCTATAAAAGCTTTGCTTATACAGTATCCTGCTGACAAAAAACTAACGTATTTAAGCATAGATGTAGTTAGGGCAGTTCTAATCCTCATCTATCATTCTTGATCACCCAGAAAAATGCTGGGTGGTTTAGAAAAAAGAAATATTGTGGTCCTTGGTACATGAACTACAGCAACTAAATTTAATAGGAGACCTGAAAGTCATGAACGTATAAAGGGGAAATGAGGGGAAGGCTAATAGTAATAAGAAAGCATGATAATTCAATACATATGTATACGTCTTAATTTTTTTTCACTTTATCTTCTCCTAGTTAGTCAGAGGTAAGTTGCTAGAAGTCAGTTGTTGGAATGGATGGAATTTAACAAGTAGGTTTGTGGGGGTGGGACATTCCAGGCACCAGAATATGGGAGAAGGCATATAGAGCTCCTATAGACATGCAGGGAGCCGGCTCCAATGTGCTGGAAATCCAGCACGTTGGAGCAGATTCGATTAAGCAAGTCTGCTAGACCATGGAAATAAACACGCTCCAGTAGACTCTGCCATCACGTGTATCAGCATGTGCGCACTGAAAATGGCAGTGGGGCACTTTGAACTAAAGTTCGTTCAGTGAGCTTTAGTTCAAAGTGCCCTGCTGCTATTTTTCAGCGCGGGAGATGCTGATACACATGATACACAAGTGCTTTTAATTAGCGCAGCTCACTAATTAAAGTGCCCCCTGGTGCCTCCCAGAGCATGTGTAAAAATCCCATAGAGTCCTGTGAGAGAAAATAACTATGTAGGTAAGGTAGTTGATTATGGGGTGCCAGAAGCAAAATAGAATGTTAGAATAAAAATACATATTTTTAAAACACCTGATTAATTGATTTCTCTATGCTGTTGCCTTATTTAATTTGCAAGTGCTCCTATTAGTCCAGATGCATAACTTGAAAAAAATATAGCTGTTTAGCTTTAGACAATAAAGTAGTTACATGACTTAATCTGCTTGGGGATATAGATTCATAGATTGTTAGGGGCTGGAAGGGACCTTGCAGATCATTGGGTCCAGCCCCTGCCCCCGCTCTAGACAGGAGGACATCAACTGGGGTTAGGTGACCCCAGCAGGGTGACTGTCTAGTCTCTTCTTGAAAACCTCCAGGGTAGGTGACTGCACCACTTCTGTAGGGAGTTTATTCTACAGTTTGCACACCCCGACTGTGAAGGAGTTTTTCCTGGTATTAAGCCTGGAGCAGCTTTCCAGGAGCTTGTATCCATTGGTCCTGGTCTTACCAGGGGTGCCCTAGTGAACACTTGTTCACCGAGCTCCTGATGCACTCCTCTGATATAGCGGGAAGCCGCTATCAAGTCCTCTCTCCACCTTCTCTTCTTTAGGCTAAAGAGGCCCAGGTCCCTCAGCCTCTCCTTGTATGGCTTGCCTTGCAAGTCCCTAATCATACAGGTTGCTCTTTTCTGGACCCTCTCAAGTTTTTCCACATCCTTATTGAAGTGCAGTGCCCAGAACTGGATGCAGTACTCCAACTGTGGTCTCACCAGTGTTGAGTACAGCGGGAGTATCACTTCTTTAGTTTTACACGAGTTGCATCGGTTGATGCATGCCAGCATGTTGTTTGCCCTGCTGACCACCGCCTTGCACTGACGGCTCACATTCATACAATGATCAGTCATTACCCCTAGATTCCTTTCGGCATTGGTGCAAGTCAAGCTGTCACCACCAAGCCTGTATGTATGTTGAGGGTTGTTTTCCCCCAGATGGAACACCTTACACTTGGAAGTGTTAAACTTCATCTGGTTCTGGTCTGCCCAACTCTCGAGCCTGTCCAGGTCTACCTGTATCTACAACCTATCTTCTGACGTGACCACTCTGCCCCATAACTTAGTGTCATCTGGAAACTTGACCAGCAAGCTTTTCACTCCCCCATCCAAATCATTGATCAAGATGTTGAAAAGCACCGGTCGAAGCCCGGACACTTGAGGGACACCACTGGCCACTTTGCACCAGGATGACACAGATCCATTCATGAGAACTTTCTGGGTCCTACGCTGTAGCCAGTTTCCCACCCACTGAACTGTTGAGCAGCTGAGCCCACAATCTTCCAGTTTCCCCTCAAGGATATTGTAGGATCCTAGATCAAAAGCCTTTTGGAAGTCTAGGTATATAACATCTACCACGTCTCCTGTGTCTGGGTGGTGAGAAACCTGATTGTAGAAGGAGATGAGATTGGTAAGACAAGACCTACCTGTGACAAAGCCATGCTGGCTGTCATTCAGAATCTTACCTTCTGCGAGCATATCGCACATAGATTCTTTAATGAGCTTTTCCAGGATTTCCGCTGGGATGGAGGTTAGGCTGATTGGCCTATAGTTGCTTGGGTCCTCCCTCTTCTCCTTCTTGAAGATGGGCACAATGTTGACTTTCTTCCAGTCGTCAGGGATTTCCCCTGTGCACCACGAATTCTGAAAGAGCTTTGCCAGGGGTTCCGCAATGGCCTCAGCCATCTCCTTCAGCACTCTCCGATGGATTCCATCCAGTCATGCTGACTTGAAGCTAACTATGTTACTTCAAATATGACTAAACAGAATATTGCCATTTTACCCTCTTGATATACTGTATTGCAGTATAGGATATACTTTTTAAAACAAAGTATTTCTTCTAAAAATGGCCTATGCCTTAACTTCAAGAAAAAAGAAATAAAAAGCTCTTATGTACCATACACATGATGGTGATACACATGACAGTCCAGGCACTTCTAATTAGCGTGGCTCTCAGAGCCTTGCTAATTAAAGTACCCCGCTCTCCCTCAACCTCCTGGAGCCCATCTATAAATGCCCCTGGTTGCCAATGGCTTCCTATCTGACTTTGGAACTCACTTTTAAAAAAGGACTTGCTATGCTGTTCAGCTTGTTCTTGGATCAGAGACAAGATGCATCTCTCCTACTTACTTTCTCAGCTCTTATTTCTGCTAATGGAGAGCCTCAAGGCAGGGTAGGGGGAGTACTACTGGGGAGAGAGTTGACTCTTAAGGAGTGGATGGGGAGAGATCTACCTGTGGAGATTCCCCTCTATGTGTGGATTCAAGTTGTATGACCGTGCCCATTGTTTTTCTATGCTGCAGTTCACTGTGGCATTCTCCATTATGTATTAAACCAAAATGGAAATCAAAATTAGCTTCAAGTAAATATTTAATGAAATGTTTATGGGAAGTTCTTCATTGTAATTAAATAGATCTTGCACAGGCAGTTAGCTTCTATAGGTTTTTGTAGTATTATGATGATATGATAAAACATGGAAGCTGCATACTAGAATACTAATAAAGTTCTTTGTATTTTATTTGCTTTTTGTTTTCCTTCAAGATTTCCACAGTAAAAGAGCCTTTCATTGATCTTTCACTTCCTATAATAGAGGAGAGGGTAAGATGCACATAAAATATTAAATTTGAAAGCAGTTTCCATGGAAGCACTTTTTTCTTTACATGAAAATGTGTATGTGTTTGTATGTACTTAGGTATAGACACATGTGACTTGAATTTATAGCCTAAAAATATGAATATGCATATGTAATATGCTTATATAGTTAAATATTTACATACATACAAAATATATAAACAGTGTGTTTATAATATTAGATTAGATTTAGAACAAAATATATTATTTAATCAGCATATAGTTCTGAATTTATTCTAATAATAATTTTGCCTGTATACATACATACATATACTAGTAGTTTATTGTTAGATATGACTAAATACAAATAGATTTCAGGGGACTTACCTGTTTTTTAAAAGGTCATATGAATGCTGGGGGAGAGCATTCACTACTTAGTATAATAAAGTTACTGAGGCTTGGAGGCTAAAATAAAACGACTTTTTAATCCATGCTGGTGCATGTTATACAGATTTCCTCTTGGACATCAGGTGAGGCAGTTGAACCCCAAAAGGACTTTCCCTGTGAGGGAAAGTAGATAGCATTTTTACCATCATCCTTCTCCATGTATTCTTCTGGGGAAAAGCAGCTTAATTTGTAGTAAATCTGCCTGAGAATGTGTGGGCTGAGACTTGACTCCCCAAAAGGATTAGATGTCCAACTCCCATTGAAGTCAGTGGGAATGAGGCATTCTAAAAACCTTTAGGGTCTGGGCTTCTGTGGGTGCCTCTATACAAGATCCTGAATGTGCAGTAGACTAATTCTACTGTGCATTAACGCGTCATGGCAAAAGTTGTGCTAATGTGCAGTAGAATTAGTTTACTGCTCATTAAACTGCATAACAAGACTGTGTGCCTTTGCTACTACGCAGTAGCTCCGGCTACTGTGCATTTATGTAGTTCCTCATATTAGAGGGACTAAACTTAATGTCCAGTAGCAAAGGTGCATTAATGCACTGTAGATGCACCCAGTGTCTTCCTGTTCACATATCTGCCCTGGGAGTGGTAGTTTTTTTGCTACAGGAGTTTCTTGCTGCCCTTAGGTGTTACTACAGTTCTGCTGGGGCTCTCTTTCCAGTTAACAAAATGTGACTTTCTTTATTACTTTACAAAATTGCAAAGAACTGGAAAAATTTAATTACATACTACTTCTCCTCAATGATATTGTTTCACAGGTCTCAAAACCTGTGCCTTTGGGAAGGACAAGTAAAGGTAAAACTGCACAGGAAGTGGATTTTGGTCACTACAATTGCCCTTCTGTTACTGCTCTGAATAACCAGCAAGCAAAAATCACTAAGAAACGCTCGTTAACAAAAGATAAGGTAAGCATCTGTGCTGTCCAGTAATCTTCAGATTGATCAGCAGCAAATTGTTTACTTGTGGATTTACAGATGTGGGAATTTTGAAAGTCTGTATTTTTATGGGCTGAATTGCAAACATGTTAGAAAACATACAGAACGTTGTAAATGCATGAACAAATCGGTTACTGGAATGCCATAATTCCATCATTTAAATGTGACCTCATTAGAAGAGAGAACTTTTCTGCAGATCAGTTTTATAATTCATTCTTTTTTCTTTTATTACCCTCCCCCACCTCTTACTGTCCACTAAGTTTGCTTCTGGCTGCAGTCACAGGCCCTGTAATGCTGGCCAAGAGAGCAGACATGTCAGTATTAGTGCCATTTGGTGGATCAGTTGGCAGGGAGTGCTACAAAAGTAGTACAGCCAACCCAGTCTCCCTGGAGACGGAGAACATGATTTTCATGATGCACTCAGCCTCCAGGGCCTGAGAACTATAGTTCAGCCCCTTAACATGGTCTTCCTGATGGTGGCACAGCATTCTGCAGACATGCCAAACTAACAAATACTGAAGCTCTTTCCTACTTCATGTGTCCTTTTTTATTATTACACAAGAAAGCATATATTTTTGGTTATCAGAGCTTTGCAGAGGAAGGGAGATCTGTGATACACGTGGTATACAAGTACCAATGGTAAAGATAAAATGACAGGATATTGATATTATTAAGGTTCCATGTGTTAATACATGTATTATGTGCCTTCTTATTTTATATATGACCCAACATTAGATTAAGTCCTATCAGCATTGCCCTTGCTGGGTTCTAAACAGTCTTCAAATGGGTATGAAATTATTAATAGTACTGACAGGAAATTAGTACCACTAAGATGATTCCAGAGATGCTCATTAGCATAACTATGAGTCTAAATTGTATAACTTTAAATAGAGCACAAATTTAATTTTAGTATTATAAGTCTGAGTTAGACAGAACTCTCCAACGTAGTGCAGGAAACAACTGTGCTTTCATTGAAGATAGCTAACAATAATTATAAAGTTACTAGTGTCTAATTTGTGAGAGCCTGTGGTTCAGAAACTCATTAACTACTTTTCTTTTGGACCATCCATCACCACTGTATTATTATGGTTTTCTTTCTGGATATTTGAAGAGGTACTAAATATCCTTATTCTTCTCTGAATCACTGAATCTCTCTGAAACAGGGGATTGCCAGTTCCACATACCATTTGTTTCTATTCTGTGCGTCTAGCCTAGGATTTCAGAAGTCTGTATCTGGAGCTCCAGAGGCACTTGGAAACCATCCATTTTCAG